TCGAGATAATTGATGTTATTCGCGGACCCTACGGACACAACGTGTGACTCTCTCCAGAGCTGAAATGTTGTGTGTGTGTGTGTGTGTGTGTGTGTGTGTGTGTGTGTGTGTGTGTGTTCACCTAGTTGTGCTTGCGAGGGTTGAGCTCTGGCTCTTTGGACCCGCCACTCAACTGTCAATCAACTGGTGTACAGGTTCCTGAGCCTACTGGGCTCTATCATATCTACACTTGAAACTGTGTACGGAGTCAGCCTCCACCACATCACTGCCTAATGCATTCCACTTGTTAATTACTCTGACACTGAAAAAGTTCTTTCTAACGTCTCTCTTATCTCTGAAACTTCTTGCTCTAATGTGAAGACCTCCTGGATTTTATTATTCAGTTCCTCACACACTTCCTTGTCGTTTGTAGTGAATCCTTCTGCCCCTATCCTTAATTTCATAACCTGTTCCTTTACTAATGTTTTTCTCCTGATGCGGCTGTTTTAGCAATTTAGGTTGAGTCTTTGCCTTGCTCGCGATGTCATTTTCATATTGCCTCTCCACCTCTCTTCTCACCCTGACATATTCATTCCTGGCACTCTGGTATCTTTCTCTGCTCTCCAGTGTCCTGTTATTCCTATAGTTTCTCCATGCCCTTTTACTTTGCTGCTTAGCTAGTCTACATCTCTGAGTAAACCATGGGTTTCTCCTCTGCATTTTAGTGTTTACCTTTTTGACTGGGACAAACCTGTTTGCTGCGTCCATACACTTCTGCGTGATGTAGTCCATCATGTCTTGGGCCGTCTTTCCCCTGAGCTCTGTTTCCCATGCTATATCTGTTAGGAATTTTCTTATTTCCTCATAGTTTCTCTTTCAGAATGCCAGCCTTTTGTTTTCAGTTCCCTTCCTTGAGTTCATTAACCCTTCCTTAACCAGATACTCAAACACCAGCACACTGTGGTCGCTCATTCCTACTGGCGCCTCGAAACCGACTTCGCTTATGTCAGAGTCGTTCAGAGTGAAGACCAGGTTGAGTCTCGCTGGTTCATCGTTGCCTCTCATCCTTGTGGGTTCCCTGACCTGCTGGCTTAA